AATGAAAATGAAAGAACAAGGTGGAGCCTTGATAGAACAGACTCGCAAAGACTTTCCTGAGGTTAATCCAGTCTCTGAACCCGAACAAGTCGGTTCTAAATCTAGAAAGAGAGAAAGATCGAATCGTAATCGTGTGGAAACAGAATCACAGTCCAATGAGAAGGAAATTAGCGGGGGTGTAAATAGGAGAACAGCAGTGTTGTTCACTCGCAAAGCTAGAGCGCGTAATGCTAAAAGCAGTCAAATGTTTCTTCCGGAAGATGATAAAAAGAAACAAAGTGATAGTTTTAAAATATATAGGTAATTTCACACACACACACACACAAAAGATATTTTTTAATATGTAATGCTTTTTTGTTAATGCTTATAATTGGTTTACATTAATAATATTTATGTTACAAAAACTTGTATACACGACTAATACTTCTAGGAGTGGAGCACTGGATAGTGATGTGGGTGAAGGAGAAAGTCAATCATCGAGCTGTAGTAGTTGCCCCACAAGTAGATCCACTTCTCCTGATCTAGAAGAGCAGAAGCAACGACAAGAAATTACTGATACAAAAAAAGAAAACGAAACTAAACAAACGAGCACCAGTAGTGGTTTAGAAGCTTTGCAACTTGTATGGGCTAAATGTCGTGGATATCCTTGGTATCCAGCCTTAATCATTGATCCTAATACGCCTCGAGGCACTATACATAAAGGGGTGCCGATTCCAGCACCACCTGATGATGTTCTGGCGCTTGCAGATAATTACAAAGATCCAGTTTTTCTTGTGCTTTTCTTTGATACGAAGCGCACGTGGTAATTATTCGTAAATGTAGAAACATATAAGATATTTAATTTGCATTTTAGCAAGAGTAAAAGAAATAATAAATTTTAACTCACATTTTGAAAAATTATGTTAATTAAAAAATTGAAAATAAATTTTGATAGAAAAATATTTCCATTCTCAATCAAAAATATTCTATTTATTATACACAGATACAAATATTTTTCGTATATACATGCTTTTATACAGAGTGGCTGGTAAGTTTTGACAAAGCGCTTGTGTGTAGATAGAGCAGACTAAACTGAGTCGAAAAGTCCTCTACCATTTTGCAATTTTCACAATAGTTAACAAGATATTAATTACTAAAAATTGCCGAATATTGGTCTTCAATAATTTTATACTCAAATATTATCAACTTTACAGAAAAACTGCAAGAGACAAAAATTGTTTATTTTCTTCTCATAGAACTCTTAAGAATTTTATGAGAAGAAAATAACTATTGTGAAAATTGCAAAATGGTAGAGGACTATTCGACTCAGTTTAGTCTGCTCTATCTACACACAAGCGCTTTGTCAAAACTTACCAGACACCATGTATATATTTATACATATATGTATGTTCAGTATATAAAACATATACATATATGATATAATAAATTTGTTAATCGCATGAAGAGATAATTTCAAAGCAGGAAGATACAGAATTTTGAGAAATAAATATTTTTCAATTTTATAAAAGCAAACATGTAATTTACAAACAGTAAAAATATTCAATTTTATAAAAGTGAACATAATTGACAAACAGTGAAAATATTACCATTTAACGTTTTTCAGGCAATGGCTGCCAGGTGAGAAATTAGAAAAACTTGGCGTATCACAAGAAGTGGACGAAGCAAAATTAATCGAATCGCGTAAACCTACGGACAGAAAAGCCGTAAAGAAAGCTTATCAAGAAGCTTTACATTATCGCAAACAAACACATAACGCGGTAGTAGACAATACGTCCACTGGATAAATGTTGTAAATACAATAGAGAATAAAATATGTAGGTAATCTGAAAAATCTTTCTAATTAACTAATAAGGAATTATGTAAAATATAAATTTATAATTAAATATGTATTTATAATATATAAAATATATAATTAAAGGTTTACAGCGTTTTATTAATATTTTATTTTGCTTTACAATTAGCTACAATTGCATTATTATCTTCTAAAAATTAAAATTCACATCTGTAATTAAATTATGTTATTATCAATAATTATCTAATTTTATGAAAAAATCTTTTTTATATTTCTAATGATATAATGATGCAATTGTATAATTGACATACAGTTTTCGAGTTTAGCTAAGTTATATATTTTATAATCTTTTTTCCACATAAAATATATATCCAGAATATATTATAAATCTAATTGATTTGATAGTCTTAATATTCAGCATAATAATAATAAAAATTTTCTTAGAGGTTGTATATGTATATATAAATATTTTTATCAATTAGTTATTGTATAAAATTTCATTATTGTATAAAACTGTAAATTATTATATCAATTCACCAAAACAAAACTTGAAAATAGATTTTATATTAATATTGTACAAAATGTTATTATAAATTATATTGAGGATGTGATATTACAAATGCTTTGAAGTATTTTTTGATCAATTACTTAGTAAAATTCTTTCTTCTGATTGATAAATCATGTTTCGAAGCATTTGTAATAAGATTTTGACCGTATCAATTAAAAGATTTTTAGATTAATGCAAATTTTATAAAATATACAAGTTTGAAAATATATATAAATTTTGGAAATCTTATTAAAAAATATTACACAAGAAAGTGAAATAACTTTACAATTTTCTTTTTATGGAATTCATATATATGAATTTCAATTTATGTATATAAAAAAATCACATGGAATAAATAAATCATTTGCGTAGAAAAATATAAATTTTGTTAACCTTAGAAAAATTTGTTAACCTCACGTTAAATATTTTAAACCTAATGCTGAGCCTGAAGCGCAAAATATTAAATTGAATTTTATTTTTAAAAATATGAAAATTGATTATATATATATATACATTTAATAGCGATAGACGATACAAGAACATTTGATTTTGAATTTATTAAAATTTATAAATTGATAAACGTATTTTAATTTTAATTATAACTTTGTAAAGACTTTATAAATGCAATTGTTTTGTTTTTAATCTTGTTTACCATCCCGCTTTGAAACATATTCAGCAAGTTCTTTAGCATACATGTCGAGCCGTTGTGTCATCTAAAAGATACATTAAACAAAATAAACAAAATAGAATTTGAATAGTTGAAGGTATAAAAAAGAATTTTTGGAATATATTCGATAAAATATATTCCTTATCAATCATATTTTAATAACAATTCATTTAATCTCTGTTTTTTTTTCAAACAATTTTTTCGAGTAAATTTAAAGTACATATTTTTATTATGTGAATTAATTCTGTTCACTAAATATCTACAGTATTATTACTTAATATTTTCTTGAATTACAAGTATTAATGTATTTGCCAAACTTATTGTCATTATGATTTTATATATTATTCTATACATACAACGAATAATAAAAGAATATGAAACACTCACCCTAAATCCCCAAATATCTTTCACATGTCGACACATATTGAGGTCCAATTCTCCAACGAGAAGTCCATCTTTGTGCCGATTTAGACTTGGAGTTCGCGAGCCATCAGGGGCAGTAATATAACTAGATCCATAAAAGAATCCAAAGTCGTTATGCGCTGGTTTCCCATCACCAGAAGTAAATTCATTTGCAAAATTCTCAGTTCCTACGCGATTGATAGCACAAGTGTAATAACTATTTGCTATCGCGGCGCATCTTGCTTCGATTGGCCATAAATGTTCCGATAATCCTTGAATAGTTGCAGATGGATTAAAAACGATCTGAAAAATATAAAAGATATTATATGATTGAGAAATCCGGATAAGATTATATTAATTAGATTGTGAAATTAGGAAAATTATGGAACGATAAATTTTTCCTCTAAAGAAAATCAATTTCAAATTTTATAAGAAATAATATTGTACGCCGAATTTACTTATTATCTTATTTAGAAATGCTTATAATCCATGACTCACTTCCGCCCCATTTAAACCAAACATCAACCAGTTCAATGGATGATGACGTCCATAACATATATTAATCGCGATGCGTGCAAAGGGAGTATCGAATACTGGATGCCCTGTGTTGCCTTCCATGTAGTAGGTAGATTCGTTAAAATCTCCGATACGAGGAATATGATTCTTTCTATGTTTCCCAAGGACTGTACCATCTATATTGATCACCACGGAGGTGTTCCAGATAGTATCACCGTCAACAGAATCTCTCTCTAAAATCGGTGATACTATTACCATATTGTATTTCTTAGCGAGCTCAGACAGAAACACAGTGGTAGGTCCTGTTTCAGCATCCTCGGCAAACTCGCACCACGGATACTTTTCCCTCGTGCAAAAAGCGAACGGCATAGCTGCAATAATCGTATAGATTGATTATTATACAAATTTATATATTGCATATATAATAAAATTATAATACTATATAACATAATTTAATAACTATATATATTATATATAACTAATGGATTTTTCACATACGCCATGCTTCTTGAAGACATAAAATGTTAACGTTGTATTGAGCTGCTTGTACAATATATGATTTAACTTTGTTATATATTGCATCTCGTTGATTTTGAATAGAATCTGTTGTCGGTGCTACTATGCTATGTTGAATCAGTCCAACGCGAATTAGACGTGGAGCACGAAGCTCTTCATGGACTCGACTAAGCATCTGCCATCCTTTTACTTCAAAATTTTTATCTTCATATTCTATACCTAATGGACTAAAAATAATATGTAAAGGTGTATTGTTTAAACTTTTTAACATTTATGTTGTGCATAACTTAGATTTAACTCTGTTTTACAAAACTATATTCTATCAAGAACTTTATATTTTATATTTCTTGTATTCTCTGATAAAGTATATGTTCAATACATGTACATATAAATATGCATTAAGCAAACAAATTGTTATAATTATTATTGTGATCAAATAGTTATAAGATTAATATTTGCAAAATAAAAATATACACATCTTTATTCATAAAGTTTAATATTTTCTTTTAACCAGTATAATTAAATAAATTCTTATATAAGTGATATATCCACAGATAGAAAAAGATATATTTTGCAATATAAAGTCTTACGTAGATGAATGCCCATATAAAATACGTTTTACTTCAGTCAATTTGTTTTGTGGTATATATTGCTCTAAAATTTGTTCCACAGTTTCAGTCATGATTGCTACCTTGCTGGTTTACTTTTTGACTGAATAATCTTGAAGCTTGAGGTTCTATAAATGAGATAGCACTTCTCCCCACTGTATCTACCAAAGCAGTAAAAACAAGATTAGACAACATGGGAGACAAATATCTGAAGGACATTACAAACATCTGCGAAATTCTAAAAGATCTTTATGTTACATTATTGTTGCAATATTATTGCATCATTATTACATTACGATATTGTATATGTTATAACATTCTGTTGAATACAAACTAATAATAACATATTACATCAATATTATATAATTTACTACTCAAAAATGTTATGTGTAACATATGTTATATTACATTTATATTGTTGAATGAAAAATTATTAACATTGATTCAGCAGGGTGTATCATATTGATAGCAAAGCAAATTCATTTTATTCAAACTTATTTTATTTGTTACAAAATAATACAAATGTATGTACATTGAAAAAGAATTATGTATAAATATATAGGACGCTTTCGCCAAAAGTATTATTTTATTTTTGTTGGAATGGAATTGTTAAAAAAGATAAAACGACGTTTGTGTCGACTTAATTGTATCAGTAAATAAGAAGCACATATAAAAAAAAACATGAAGATTTATGAAAAGGTATAATATGGTGGTGTCTCAGCACTAATTCACAAGTTCATAAGCATTTCATTACTTTTATATATATATATATATATATAGTGGGAAAATACATGTTCTATAGAATAAGAATCATGTGAATATAATGACCAGAACTTGTTATCTCGTAGAATGATTAATTTTTATTATAAAACAATATGTTTATTATGGAAGCTTTCCATTTTGACACAAGTCGACACACTCGACACAAACATCATTTTATCTTACTTGACATTTCATAAATAACAAAGATAGAATGACACTAATTATATCAGCTTGTGTCAACAAATGGAAAGCATCCTTTGTTTACAATTTGTTACAAGGTAGTTATAATTTTTAATAGTAGAACTGGGTGTTAATTGAAGAATACTTATCGCATAATAGTAAAAAACGTACAAAATTTTTATAACACAATGTGACGCACGCTTATCTTATCTGTACGATTCTGACTGCGTTCCGTTTCACGCATAATCAGCATGATGTGCATGAGGCGCATGATACATCATTTGTCCTTGTTATTCATCGAATGTTAAACAAGGCTAAATGATTACGCGCATTAACACATCAGGTGCGTTCGGGGAGTCGCTATTAGCGCTATTCTGTTATTATTCTATCCTTGTTTTACGTCTAATAAACAACAAAGATAGAATGACAGAAGTAGCGCTAATAGCGTCTCCCCGAACGCACCAATCATGTGCAATCATGCGTGAAATGGAATGGGTGCGTTCAGCAGAACGTTTGTTTTGCAACTGTTGTAAGTTTCCTTCGCGCTAATTGGATCATACTTTTAGATCTAGAAGAATGGTCCTATCTCAGCAGACAATCATAAAACGGTTGCAAAACTGTTGAGTCTGCTGAACGCAGCCACTGCACCTTCTATGAGAATATAAGGTCTGTTCGCGTTGCATGAAATCCTCAAATATTTTTGCACTTAAAATGAGATAGATATATATTTGGCCTTGAAAAGAGAGAAAGCGAAGATGCCGAGTGTCAAAAGTGCAAGCAACGCGAATGGATCTATAATGTGTGAATGATATGTGAACATATGACCAACATATGATTGGAAAAATACGATCGTAACAAGAACTTTGAAATTTTTATTCGCTACGAGCTGTAAGATGGCATAAATATCGAATTATCTTGATAACTGACTATGATATACCATATTATGATAATGCAGTTGGATTCCATGATTAGAGATGTCGAGACTGTCGAGGTATGTTTGCATTTATAAACAGCTGATAGATATCTGCATGATATCGTGCTATTCGTGTCTCATAGACAGAGTACAAGAAAATTTATCAACAAGTATTTGTGAACTTCTCAACGAGTGATAAAATAATATCCTTATTAAATGTAAACTTGGGGAAAGAAAAACTGGAAATAGAATTGAATATTGCAAGACTGAAGGTTCTGATCTAGGTAAATCTAACCTCACTTGACAATAGAATAACTTATCAACAACAATTATTAAAATATTATCTAATAATTTTTACATTTTTTGTCCTTTTAAAATCTTTAAGGTGCAAGACGTAATTAGATAACGTATACATATTAGTTGTATCGAAAGTTGGACAGAAAGTTTTATAACGATGGCTGCGACAAGGGAAAAGCGTACAAACGCTGGCAATAAAATGGCAAAGTTGTTAAACGAAGAAGAGGAAGATGATTTTTACAAAACTACGTATGGTGGCTTTGACGAAGTGGAACAGGATCACGATTACTTGTTTGTAGCTTTTATAATTCTATTTATTCTTATTCATTTATTACATTTATGCAACAAAAATTCATAACAAAGTACATAAACGATTGAATTTTAGAGAAGAAGATGAAGCTGAGGACGAAGTGGATTCGGACTTCAGCATTGATGAGAATGATGAGCCAGTTTCTGATACTGAGCAAGAGGGACCGAAAAAGAAACGCAGATTAGTAACGAAAGCATATAAGGAGCCTAAACCTGCCACGTTGCATACACATTCGACGCCCAAGGAGAAAAAAATAAAACAACCAAAACAAGAAAAGATTTACATAGATAGTATAGGTAACATAAATACTTAGCATATTAAATGTTTTTCTTTTCAATACATCCACTTTGTAATGTTATGCAGAAAGAAAATCAATTCGCCGCTCTACTGCCGCAAAGTCAGCAGCTACACAGAAACGTTTACGTGAGAGAAACGAGGATCAGAGGCGAAAGGTCAAAATTGTAAAGCATGACATATGGAAACCCACTCAGGAGGAATTACTGGAAGAAGCGTTACAAACAGAGGAGCTTAATTTGAAATCCTTAGGTATGTGTAAAACATTTAACAACGTCCTTTATTTGGACGTTTTCTTTCTTGAAGATAAAATTTCTTTCTTGAAGAAAATTAAATAAAATTAAAAATAAGACTAAATAAGAATATACCTTTAAGAAATAGCTATATAATTGTTCTACACTTACAGAAAAGTATCAGAAACTAGAAAATGAAAAAAAGACTACGAGGACTGTGAGAAAAACGCACGTTGGACCAATGATCAGATATCAATCATTGTCTATGCCGGTCATGGTATTATCTGAAGTAAATGAAGAAGAAAAGATCAATGTTGAATGCGATGATGAGAAAAATGGAAATTCTAATAATACAGGTTCTGACAGCTCTCAAAAAGAGAAGAGGTATATTTCATTTATTTAACTTTTTCTGATAAAATATAAAAAGGTATGAATAAGAGATAAGTCCACAAAACAAGTTTTCAAAATACTAAATTTAATATATTGTATTCAATATATTAAATCATAAAAGACCAAAAGGACACTCCCTTCAAGTTCCAACAAAAATATTGTGTATAAAATATTCAATATCGAGACTATGCAACCTATGTTAGACAAATACGACGTCTATTAAAAACGAGAATAAAAGAACACAGAAATTACATCAACAAAATACTTCCTGTGAATCTGTGATCACAGCCATGAATTCGAACAAAAGAACGTAAAATTCTTAGATAAAGAAAGACAATTGAGTAAAAGGCTCATATTTGAAATGCTGAATATTCAATTGCAATCAAATAGTTTGAATTTACAATCATGACATGGGGTTTTTGCACCACTTATGCGAGCATTTTAGAGAGATTCAAATAGTGACATTATGTATTCGCCTTTAATTTGTTTATTACATTGTATATGACGTATAGTTATTTCTACAGATGTGGCTTTTAGATTATAATTTTGACGGTCATTGCTTGTCTGACTTCCATCTGGATAGCACATGTTATATTGTATATTTTATATTTAATTTAATAAAGAGGAAATATTTACGTCTTGTAATCGTAACTTTTATAATTTGACTTACTACGCTCTGAATAACTGAGTTGTGATCTATGGAGAAGGAGGGTGAGTAAAATAAGCATACATTGAATTCATTACATTGCAAATGATAATTATGCCTATTGTACTCTTTAATTAGTCACTTGACTAAACAGCGAAAAGAAAAATTAGGCAATTTCCAACCAGACAGTAGGGAGATACTCATCCTCGGTCTCACATAGAGCATAATTTCAACATTTTTCAACTATTTTGTCAAGACATCTATAATATTAATCTATGAATTTGCTGAAGATGGTTTGAAGAAAACCGAAACGTCCAAATAAGTTTGTATCGACGGTCATTGTACAATTTTAATATATTATGTGAATATTATTTGATTATTATAAATTGCGCACCAATTCCCGCGCTGTGTTAACGCTCTCTTTGTCCGTATATTATATTATTGTTTTTTAATATATTGTAATTCCAATTTAATAAATTTCAGTGAAACAGAGTCAAAAATAGATGGAAAAGATGATAATAAAGAGGAATCTGTAGATACAGCTCCCTCTGATTCCACTAAAAAGATACATGGCGAAGAAACTGGGACATTTTATGAACGAACGTTTATTACTTTTGAAAACGAACAATCATATTCAGATGTATTTAAGAAATCGACACAACGAAGGCCGCCACTGAAACCTCTATGCGCAATCACACGGTAAAAAATACTATTTAAAAGTTTCTTACATTTACAATTACATATTTCTATATTTTATTATTTATAAAAAAATTAATATTAACCCTTAAATGTCTTTTCACCATAGAGTTCAACCGAAAACCACATTTTGACCTCCAACCGAAATCGAAACTTAGATAAGTCTTATTAAAAAAAAAAAAAAAAAGAGAAAGAAGCTAACGGAGTCACATTTTTTTCGGCCGGAGTCGAAATCGACATTTTTAAATTAATTTTACAGAGACCGTATGATTTTTAGAAATCATATGACAAATTTATATATTCTTAAAAAAACAAGATTTTATTAAAATATCTAACTATAATAATATAATAATATTGCAGTCTCTACTTTTAAAAGAAATTAAATCACAGTTATTATTAGGATCACATCAAAGTTTGTACTCAAATTGTCTTAAGCTTAATCAACGAGTTAATAATTTAAAATCTAACAGCTGTTTTTTTAAACGCTCACCGGTGTGTTGCAACTTGTATAATTTCAGTTTACCCAGCGAAATTTTCTTTTAATTTCGGCCGAAACCGAAACCGAATTTTGATCGGACTCTATACTCTTCTTTTTTCTAATGCTTTTTCATTGTTTATAACTTTTTTTATTAATAAAAATACATATATATTTGTTTGATATTGTTATGTTTCTTAATCCTACTGATTTGTTCGAGTCTATTTGGCTTAAAATGTAATTTATTTATTTATTTAAAAAATTTTTAATTATGTCGATCCAAATAATAAGATCGTATAAATTTGGACAGCAGGATTAATATTTGGTTTTGATTTAAAAAAAAATTGTTTACAATACTTTCATTTTTATGAAAGTTATAAGCGATCGAATTGGGTTGGATGTATCATATCCAAGTGTGTTGTTTTCGTGTTGCATTTAAGGGTTAATGTTACAGCATTTAAGGGTTAATGTTACAGCATTTAAAAAAATTAAGAATTTTTTGGATTGATAGGTTGGCTGCTAAATATTTAGATCCTATGACACAATTACCATATAAAAATGTACAGACCTTTCGATTACTTCGAGAAGCATATTATCAGCAGTTAGAAGGTCGGACTGATCTTAACGATGCTTCTCAAAGTCCAGAATTATCACGATGGCTTGAATGGCGACAGAAAAATCATGGTAATTCTCAGAGAAACACTATTCGTCTGGAGTCAGCATCTTTACCCGTGTCTTCATAATCTTTTGCTTTGTAAGTAATTTAAGATTAAAAATAGTTAATTTTTGTTACTTATGCGATAAATTAAGCTTTATTATGTATATGTAATATAAAGCCCAATAATACTATCTTTATAAAATAGTATCTATACAAAGCTCAAGTTTAGTATCTATATAAAACCCAATAGCACTATCTTTATAAAACATCTAATTTGTTTTCATGCATCCTTTTAATACTGATTGTGTATATAATATATAAATTATAACACTCTTCTATAAATTTATAACAAGTTACAAATTAAAAATATA